ATGACGTTTTTTGTCACAGTTGTTAAGCAAATCATTGCAGTTGTTAAGTGAATTATGTGAACTTGGCTTCCCCCATTGAGCTTATTTATTTATTTATTTATTTACTTACTTACTTACTTATTTATTTATACTTCTATACCGCTTCATAATGCTATACAGCCCTCTCTAAGTGGTTTACAAAGTTAGCATATTGCATATTGCATATTAGCATATTGCGTTAGCATTAGCATATTGCCCCCAACAATCTGGGTCCTCATTTTACCCACCTCGGAAGGATGGAAGGCTGAGTCAATCTTGAGCTGGTGAGATTTGATCTGCTGATCTGCTGAACTAGCAGTCAGCTGAAGTAGCTGCAGTACTGCACTCTAACCACTGCACCACCTCAGCTCTTATTACTTACTTATTACTTATTGCTTACTTATTGGAAGTTGGCTAGGAAAGTTACAAACGGTGATCACAAAGCCCCATGTTGCCGTAACCATCCTAAATATATTCCAGTTGCCTAGTGACATGATTGTGTGACCGTAGGGATGCCACAACGATTGTTAAGTGTAAAAAACGGTTATAAGCTACTCTTTTTTTCAGTGCCGTAGTATTTTCGAATTGTCACTAATCAAATGGTTTTAAGTCAAAAGCTACCTGCACATTTTAATGCATTTTAGCCATCGCCAGGTTAAAGCATTCTGTTTTAAGTGATATCACGCCAGCCTTACTGGATCAGCCAGACAAGAAACATGTCCTGATGAGCTAGATAATTGTACTTTATTGTGAAGCTACATGAACAGAATTTTGCAAGTTTGAAAGTACTTCTCACCACTTTACAGCTCCCAAATCAAAAAAGGTTTATTCTGAGTCTCTTGATCAGCCCTCTATGGAGCATCTCCTCTGAATTATTCTCCAATGCTGTATAGGGTTCTACTGATTATTGGCATACAGTACAGAGAGAGAGAGAGAGAGAGAGGAAAGAAAGAAAAGAAAAAAGAAAAGAAAAGAAAAGAAAAGAAAAGAAAAGAAAAGAAAGAAGGAAGGAAGGAAGGAAGGAAGGAAAGGAAGGAAGGAAGGAAGGAAGGAAGGAAGGAAGGAAGGAAGGAAGGAAGGAAGGAAATGTTTATTGTAGCATCACAAGGCAAACATCACAAAGACTTTTGGATTTGCAACCCATCTTCAGAAGTGTTTGGAGAAGGTTTCGAAATGGCAGCCACAATTGTGCAATCAAAGCACTATCTTTTTATGCGCATAATGCATGTTTTAAAAGACAGCGCTTTGACCTCATGGTTATAACCATTATTTCGACTTTTTTAACAGCCTTACTGATGTCAGACACAAATATATAAATTACAGGGTTGGTAGTATTGACATGTATCTCAATGCACGTTTCATCATTGACCCCTTCGTTGCCCTTCAGCCCTGTAGCTGTTTCTGCTGACAATTGATCTGTTGTCATATCTTTGTGTTTTATTGCCTCCGCCTGATATATGAACCACTCGGTTGACAAACAAAGAGTTTTGGTTAAGATTTTTAACCTGAAAGTTACGGCTGGGTTCGCTCAACAGAAGTAAGAAGGGTTGCTCTATGGATCACTGCACCTTGCAAATCCAGCCATGTGATTAGATGCTGTTGCAAAGGGTCAGGTTAACATTGAAAATAAAGGCTAATTGGGAAACAATGCTTAATTAAACCTACGAGTCAGCTTCACATGCAAATACAGCTCATTGCTGGCTGCTAAAATACATGGTTGATTCTCACTGAAAGCAGAAATGTGACACAAGAGAAATTATCAGCTTTTGGCACAATTGCAAAAATCCTTTTCAAATTTTGCAAGGCATGGTGATGGTATAGTACCTTGTGGCGATGGTGGTATAGATCAGTGATCACCAACTGGTGGTCCGTGGACCACTGGGGTCTGTGAGAAAATTTTGGTGGTCCACAGAAAAATTATTTGCGTTTTTTATATTGCACTAAATCAGGGGTCCTCAAACTATGGTCCCTGGGCCGGATACATGGAATGAACATTTGTGTTGCTGCAGAGAGTCTCCCCCTTCAGGGTCTTTTTGTGTGGGTCGGAGGGGGGCAGAAATTCCAACTTGGGGTCTGCTTCAGCCTCCTAGTGCGGGGCTTTGAGCAAAGGCTGGATGGAAGCACCACTGGTGGCAAAGAGCCAGAGGACCTTGTTCCAGTGGGACTGTATCATGGCCTGGAACTGGCTGACCATCTCAGCCCACTGAGCCTCCAGGCACCGGTATCTGGCCTTATTTATTATTTATTTTATTTTTTAAATTTTTATACCGCCTCCTCTCCCGAAGGACTCGGGGCGGTGAACAGCCAAAATTAAAAACACACAATACAAATATTAAAATACTTTAAAACGAAATTAAATTTATCTTTGGCTTCCCCAATTTAAAACCCCTTACCCATAAAATTCCCCAACTAAAAGATTTTTAACTCAGCCCGGCTTGCTGAAATAAAAAAGGTGGCCGCCACAGGTGCAAGACCTGTGGGGGCCTTCCATCCCCACAGGTCTTCCCTCTACTTGGAAAGCCTATGCTCGTAGTCCTCAGTGAGGTGCTTCTGCTGAGCCTCCTTCTTGGTCAAGTCCAATTTGAACTGAGCTGTTTTGCCAACTCTTTCTCATGGTGGCTGCTTAGCTCCAACAACTGCTTCCTGTTGGGGCCTTAAGGAGTCCAGGTGGGCAGGCGAGGAGTGGCTGGGAGGGGAGGGGCAAGTAGAGGCGGGTGAGGCACCCCTTGACATGAGTGACATCAAGTTGGCCATGCCCACCCAGTCACATGACCACCTAGCCATACCCACCCAGCCAGTCATTAGGCAGATCATATGAATGGTCCGCAGGATTTAAAATTATGAATGTAATGGTCCCTGAAGTCCGAAAGATTGGTGACCCCTGGTATAGATTGTGCAGTATTTTAGAATATGGACCACTGAAGTTTAGAGTTTTCAGGGAAGGGATGAAAAAGTCAAGATGGCAATCGTGACTGCATGTTCAAAGCCTCGCCCCTTTCCTACACATGTTGTAGACCTATACTCAAACATTTAACTTTATTGGTAACCAGTACAGCTGGCCCAGCAGAGATGTTGCATTGGCCCACCTGGATACACCCTCCATTGCCTATGCTCTGAATTCCAGAGCAGCCACAACTTTTCAGTGATCTTTGAGAGAAGCCCACATGCAACACATTGTAATACAAGTAGTCCTCAGTTTGCAAACACAATTTAGACCAGACGTTCCATCGCAAAGTATAGTGGTACCTCAATACTCATCATTAATTTGTTCTGGGAGATGCAATGAGCACCTAAAACGATGAGTACCAAACAAATTTTTCCCATAAGGAATAATGTAGCGAGTCACAAGGCAGCTAATATTGACAAGTGCTAGCTTATGCGTTGAGCACCAAACAAATGATAAGTAGGAAACAACATTTTCATGTCAAAATGTGTTGAGTACCAAACCTGATGAGTTTCAAAGCAGCTGAGTACCAAGGTACCACTGTGTGGCAGTCCTTAAGTGAGTTGAACCCACTTTTATGACCTTCGTTGCTCTGTTAAGTGAATCACATAGTTGTTACGTGAATCTGGCTTGCCCCATTGGCTTTGCTTATTGGAAGCTGACTAGGAAAGTAACAAATGGTGATCAAGTGATCCCAGGACACCATAGCCATCACAATTACATGCCAGTTGCCAAGTGCCTGAATTTTGATCATGTGACTATACAAACCCCAACAGTTGTAAGTGTGAAGACTGGTTATAAGACACTTTTTTTCAGCGTAGTTGTAACTTTGAATGGTGGTTAAACTAATAGTTGTAAGTGGAGCCACATGTGAATTGATTAAGATGTAAGTGACCATGACAGAGTATTTCCAGTCCAGGAAAGAACAAAATCGGTATATGCTGGTTGGGGAATTTTACCAGTAGGAGTTAAAAGTTTGCACATCTTAAAGTTGTTAGGTTTGAAAAAATACTGATCAAAAGGTCCATTGGCCAGATTTGTAGTGCCAAAATCCTATCAGCAATCCTCTCCTTACTGAGAAAGCTGTGGTTTGATGCAGTTGATAATGTCTTCAAAAGCAATTTTTTTTTTTTTTTAAAGGATATGTAAGAAAGAGTGCATCAGCCTTGGGGAAGCAAGGTTGGCTTACAAGAACATAACTTCTACCCTCAACTTCTACCCTCAAAACGACGCTATAGGACACGGCACACCAGAACAATGAGACACAAGGACAGTTTTTCCCCGCATACTATCACTCTGCTAAACAACTAATTCCCACAACACTGTCAAACTACTTACTGTATTACTATTATTCTTCTCATCCTTCCTATTACCTATCTCCTCCCACTTATGACTATGACCTTGTTGCTTGTATCTCTATGATTTATATTGTTTTGTTTCCTAGTATGATTTGATTGCTTATTTAGCCACCTATGACTATCACTGTTGTATCTTATGATTTTTGATGAATATATTTTATTTTTTCTTTTATGTACACTGAGGGCATATGCACCAAAGACAAATTCCTTGTGTGTCCAATCACACTTGGCCAATAAAGAATTCTATTCTATAAAGAATTCTAAAATGTGGAATTATGTTGTGAGTGACTAATTTGCAGGTAATTTATACACTATACACTACACTACAGTAATGTAATGTAATGTATACACTACACTACAGTACACTACAGTACAACATTTAGCCCAATATTCTTCTGCTTTATCTATTTCGTCTGGCCTGCCAAATGCAGACAACCATGAGGGGGCAGCAGAGATACACAACCCTTAGCAATAGCTCTTGGCTGCCCCCTAACAAAACTTGCAGCAAAAGAGCTGAGGATGAAAATAATCTCCATCCAACGCAAAGCTCTATGTATGAACTGCACGGGGGCGCTAGAGAGCCGGGGTGCGTGTTGCGCGTGCGCAAAAGCAGAATTCCGTGGCCCGAGATCCGTCTGGCGAAGCGTCGTTGAGAATCCAAGCGCGCCTGCTCGAATTGCAGGATGGCGCATGCGCGCTGGACGCGTTGAGGTCCTCTGATCAGCGACCGCTTCGTTAAGGGCGGTTTTTTTTTTTTGCTCGCTCCCGGTTTGAGCGATGACCAGCGGGATGTCGAAATCGGAGTCGGGTGCCCAGGTGAGGCAGATACCGGTTCGCCGGCTCCTGCGCGGGAAGGGGAGGAGAGTTGAGACCGTTTCCTGGTGGAGGAGTGTCCATCAGACGAGATGGTATACTGCTGCTGATTATGGAGGCTCCACTGTGATTCTACTGTGAAAGGTTCACCTCCTTTCGCCCTTCCTTTCTTCCTTCTCTCCAGTGTTCCTTTTTGTTCTTGTTGCATGGACCCTAAAACAGTTCACTGGCTTTAAATCAGCTTTCCATATCCAGAAAGGTTGACCTTCTAGTTTCAAATCTGGGTAATTGGGGATTATGGGAAATGAAGTCAGTGGCTGGGGAATTATGGGAGTTGGAAGTTCACACAACTTTAAAAGTTGCTAAAAGTTGAGAAATTATGCTTTTAAAGTACAGTATCTGCCTGCAGTACAGGATGCAAAGTGCATGGAAACTACACAACTCCACAGAGAACTTTGGAGTTGCAAAAAATGTGTGCAGGTTAATAAAGACAACTGCGGAAAAGAAAACAGGGCAGTTGTAAATCTTTTGGGACAAAATTTGTGTCCTCCTCTCCAACAATCCAAAGAACAGAAGAAGTGGGACATAAACTCGGGATAAAATCTTGCTTAATTTCATCCAAGTTGGGGAGGGGGGGAAATCTAAAGCTTTTTTTTTTTTTACCATGTGTGATAGCAATATGTCAGCTGACTTCACTCTGCAACAGATTGATGCCAGCCTTTCAGAGAAGAGACTGGCTCTAGAGCTTAAAGAAATCAACAGTTTGTCTGTGGAAGTGTCATTTGGTTGTGTCCCCATTTATTTATTTATTTTATTTTTCTGCTTTGCAGCTCAGAAAGTTTTTATTAAATTTTGGTGTGTGTTTTTCCCACAACTATTGAAACAGCTGAAAAATTATTTTATTTGACATTCCAATTTCAGCTCTTCACTTTGCCCTTGGGGCTATAATAGTTCTTAAAATGGTTGACAAGATTTCTGTTAAGATTGCTTATTATCTTAATTTAATCCAGCACTCAGAGCCCCTTTTGAAATATAAAGTGACCTTAATGGAAAGCAAAAATGATGTTGCCCTAAAACGCTTTGCAACAAAAGTGACATTAAAGAGTCCTAAATAGGTAGCAAGGTGGAATTTTTATCTCGCAATTTATTCAGCCGGTAGGTAGGGTTTTTAAAAATCTGGAGTGTGATCAAAAGTACAACCTTTTATGAAGATTAATATTTAATATCATTGCTTGAAACTGTGGTGACAGTGGTTGACTTTGGCATGCCTTCTTTCTTTTTATTTCTTTCTGTTAAGCTGGCTCTCCCAGAATGTTAGTGCACACAGCATGATGCTAAGTCACTGCACTTACTTTCCCTTAAAAACCAGAGAGTAAACATGAATGCAAAACACAGGTGCATTAGTGTTTAAATTATTATTATAATTTGCACCAGCAGTTAAGGACCTGCTGTTTTTTCTCTTGTCAAAAGTATCCAAACCCTTGTAGGGCAATTATCTAGCCCATAATAAATAGTGAGTGGAGTTCTACAATTTAGTCAGCAATAAACAATAAGAATGACTTGCCTAGTAGTTAGAAGCAAAACTGAACAATCTAAAAATTCTTTTTGCCAAGGCAAACTTGTTTATCAGTCACTTGATTGCAACAGCTTGTTAACTTTTTCTGGAAGTGGGAAGATCAGTCTTGGTTAGTGCTTTGTAGAATACCACAAGGAAACCTCAAGAGCTGTATTCTAGATTGGAAAGTTTTAAAAGATCTTGGAAAAAAGACAATGGTGAACATGTCTACATTACCAGAAATATTTTATGGATATGCAGTAAGCAAAAGTTAAGCTCAGTTTAAGGACATATCTTTTTTAAAAAATGGCTGGTATTTCAGAACCTCTGAATCTTACTTGTAACTAGCCAACTGAATCTTTTAATTGGAGATATAATGTAATAGAGGGTAGTCCTCAACATTCAACAGTACACTTAGTGATCATTCAATGGCACTGAAAAAAGTGATTTATGACCATTTTTCACAGTTATAACTTTTGCAACATCCCCATGATAATGTGATCAAAATTCAGGCGCATGGCAACTGGTTCATTTTATGACTGTTGCTGTGTCCCAAGGTTACGGGATGACTTTTTGCGACCTTCTGACAAGCAAAGTCAATGGGAGAGCCAGATTCATTTAACAACTGGGGTTATTAAGTTACCAACTGCAATGATGCACTTAACAACTGAGGTGAGGAGGATTGTAAAATGGTGCAAAACCCTCTTAACAAATGTCTCACTTAACAACAGAAATTTTGGGCTCAATTGTGGTCGTAAGTTGAGGACTACCTGTAATGTAAATTTGGGGTCTCACATGGGCAGAGAATGCATTACGAATGAAGGCAAAATATACATGTCCCAGGATAACGTTGCAGGATCCAATCTGAGTTGGTCAGTGGGACCAGAGTTTTAGTCTTCCGAGTTTGTGAACTTGTGCTGGAGCCCATCCGAACATATCCCTCTCCAGAAGGTGCGTTCTTTCACTGAGTTACTCCCTCTCTACAGCCTGTCCAACCTTTTTGGAGATAAAAGTTGAGAGGACTGATTTATTTGTATTATATGAATTTTGTCTACCCTAAGGTTCGATATATTTTCGTTGGTCAAAATTCTTTCTGTGCAAATTGAAAGCGGAAAGCTGCAATAAAAAGTAATTACACCATTGCTCTAAAGTACAAAGGGTTTTCATTACTGATCATGGAGAAGCGAGCAGCAAAGAGCCAAAACTTAATTATTTGATATTTGCTTTTTAAAAAGTCATTACTAAAAGGAATTAAACTTCAGCAAAAATAAACCCAGCGACAGGATTATGGGTCAAAAATATTACACAGATGTGTAACAACTTGTCACGTGATGCCGTTGGGAACATGTCCATTTCTTGTCTTTTTGAATCTCGGGAGTTTTGAAATATTAAAACAAAGCATCCCATTAAATTGAGAGACTTGTCCACCTAACACAAAAATCCATATTGCATTAGGCTCTCTTGAGTGTGTTTTCCAGGAATTTCTTGTTAAATGCCATGAACCTTGCAGTCCAAAATAAATGTGCCATTCTGTCTGCAAAGCCGTGGTGTTAGAAAAATGGAAACTTAAAAATCATTTGACCTTTGGCTGCATACTTGACTGCATGCCAAATGCTACCACCAATAGCCTCCCACCGACCAGTACGCTCCCATAGAGAGGGGCTCCTCCGGGTGCCGTCGGCCAAACAATGTCGACTGGCGGCCCCCAGGGGGAGACCCTTCTCTGTGGGGGCACCTACTATCTGGAACAAGCTCCCCCGGGAGATACAGAGGATCCAGGATCTGCGTACCTTCCGTCGCGCGCTCAAGACCTTCCTATTTCATCAAGCCGGCCTGACCTAAGTCTTTCCCCTTTTAAATGGAAATTTTAAATCTGGTTTTAAATTATTGGGGTTTTAAATTTGTTCAGCCAAATTATTTAATTCATTTTAATCTATTTTAAATTTTGTATTTATATGTTTTATTCTATGGCTGTTCACCGCCCTGAGTCCTTCGGGAGTAGGGCGGTATACAAATTCAATAAAATTAATTAAATAAATAAATAAATAAATAAATAAATAAATAAATAAATAAATAAATAAATAAATAAATAAATATTTCCTTCATTTGGAACTGTTGTGTATCTTGCAAATCTGCAGCTTCCAGAAAGAGTTGAAGGACTGGATATCATACACAACAAGCTACTATTTGAGCTTGGGGTTGCAATAATTTGTGTCTGATGGCTAATGGAAGATGGTGCAATTTCATCTTAAAATATTGATTCTTGGGAAAGAAAAGCTAGACAGTCAATTTGATTAGCATCACCCCCAAAAGCCCAACAAGTTTTCAAGTATTTGAATTCTCCAGGACTTTGTCTTCAGAAAGAGACAAAAAGCAAGAGATGTCCAGGAAAAAAATAAAATAAGCCATGAATTCTGCTATTCAGATTCAATCTTGTCTACATTTTACACCTTAATATGTATCCGAAGACCTTGAAAGACCACTGGATTAGTAGCAGCCTGAAAAATCCTAAAATGCTTTTCTTTTAAGCTTGTTTGGCTCTGATGAAAGTGAACAAGTTACACTGAAATTCAGATAAATTGGAAGGATGTTTCAGTGGTACCTTGGTACTCAACTGCTTTGAAACTCATCAGATTTGTTATTCCATGCATTTTGATGTGAAAAATTTGTCCCAGGACTCATCATTTGTTTTGTACTCAATGCACAAGCTAGAACTTGCCAATGTCGGCTGTCTTGTGACTCATTACATTACTCTTTATGGGAAAAAATTGTTTGGTACTCATCATTTTTGTTACTCATCGCACCTCCCGGAACCAATTAACGATGACTACCCAGGTACCACTGTATTTTAAATGCCTGCATGTCTAGGAAAAGATATCTCGCTTGGGAAATGCCCCTGCCCTCGGAACAATTTGTAGTTTACAAGTGCAGCTGAAGTTGATGGTTACACTATTTTAGAAGTTTGGTTTACTTCTGCAGATTGTGCTCTTTTCTGGTCCCAAGGGAAACCAGCAGCCATGCATGCCTCTATCATTTGTGGAATTAGTTGCCTTGATCGGGAGATAATGTGGTTTTTCTTGAAAATTAGTGGGAAACTGAATGTTGCAATCAGCCTCAAGATTAAGGAGAAAAGAAGGCATACATTGGCAGCTGGAGCTGTCTTTATTGCTCCAGGATTTCTGGAAAATAAAATAGTGTGGTGGACTGGCATCGCTGTTCACCACTGGATGAATCCCCAGGGACTGGGAGCTCACTATTATACTTCTAGATTTAAGCAGGAATAGAGAGACAACTCTGCTAACTACAGGTAGTCCTCGACTTACAACAGTTCATTTAGTGATTGAAGTTACAACGGCACTAAAAAAAAAATTGGCTTAACAACCATCACAAAAAACAGGCATAAAATGAGTCAGTCACTTGGGTCAGCCATGTCTCTCTGACTATAATGGGCAGGTTCCATGACAGTCATAAGTCAAGGACTACCAGTTACAACAAGCATAATTTTCTGTGAACAGGTGTTTCTTTGATTGTTGAAGCATATATAGAATTTTAAAATTAATTATATACAGATACAATGTGGATATTTGAGCTACTGTGAAATCACTGAATTACATTTGTACAAAAGTCTATAAATTTAGTGCATTGACATATTAATGATATCTAACTACTTGTCTTTTTTCCCCAAAAGTTGATTGCACGCCTTGAAGGTCGAAGTTCTCTGAAAACTCTTGAACCATGCCTGTTTGCTGAGGAAGGATATCCTGTTTATGGTTTGAAAAAATATATATACTTTTCCTGAAAAATATGCTACTTTACATATTCAGCCAGTGCATATTTGAAATACAGGTAGCCCTCAATTTACGATCACAATTGAGCCCAAAATTTCTGTTGCTAAGTGAGGCAATTGTTAAGTGAGTTTTACAACCTCTCTTGGCACAGTTGTTAAGTGAATCACTGGACTTATTAAGTTGCAAAATGAAGTTGGCTTCCCCCTTGACTTTGCTTGTCAGAGGGTCTCAAAAGGGGATTGCGTGACCCCAGGACACTGCAACTATCATAAATCTGAGTCAGTTGTCAAGTGTCTGAATTTTGATTACATGATCATGCTACAGTGATTATACATGTGGAAAACGGTCATAAGTCACTTTTTTCTGTTCCATTGTAACTTCGAACAGTCACTAAACGAACTGTTGTAAGTTGAAGACTACCTGTAATACAGATCTCTCCTCTTCCCAAAAACAAAACCTCTAACTCTAAAAATTTACACATTTTGGAAATTTGAAGACACTCACTATGGTTATAGAGTGACCATCTGTTTTATTGTATTCCGTTATGTCAGCTGATAGTTTCCAGTAAGTTTTTAAATGTTCAATTTTGTCTGTTTTTAATAGGAACACATATTTGGGAAGATCTTTGCTCTAAAAAATACAAATAAATGTACTAGTTTTCTCTTCCAACAAGGGTTTTGTCTCCTTGTTTATAATGCCACTTACTCCCGATTAATTCCTGTAAAACCAGGAAATGTAAACTAATTATGCTGGATTGCAGTTGTCTAATAATCAGAAGATTCCATATGTTTTTACTTGGGATTATATGTGAAGTGTGAGGATTCAAAGGGGGAAAAAAATAACAATTTGGAAAAGGACAAAGGTATTGTAAGTGACCACATTTCTCTTCACCGCTCCACAGGAGATGTTGTCGAATTCCACGGTCTGGAAGGGACAGGAAAAACAGAAATGCTCTATCATCTCATTGCTCGCTGCATTCTTCCAAAATCAAGAGGTGGTTTGGAAGTTAGCGTGCTTTTTATTGATACGGACTTCCATTTCGATATGCTGCGTTTAATCACTCTCCTGGAATGCAGGTTGTCGTATCGAGGCACCGAAGCCACCATGAAGCGCTATCTGGAGAGGTTCTTCCTTATTAATTGCCACAGCAGCTCTCAGCTGCTGATAAGTCTTCACTCTCTGGAAACCATGTTTTTGTTCCACCCTTCCCTTTCTCTCTTGATCATAGACAGTATGTCGGCTTTTTATTGGATAGACCGGGCCAACGGAGGAGAAAACCTGAGCCTGCAGGAAGCGAATCTAAAAAGATGTGTGCAGGTTCTCCAAAAGCTTATAAAGGAGCATCACTTGATAGTGTTCGCCACTACTCAGTCGCTTATGCAGAAGTCACAAAACTTTGGGGAAAGCTCAGAAAAAACTGAGTGTGACGCAGCTTCAGATTACCGCCCTTTTCTTTGTAAACTGTGGCGACAGCTCGTCACCCACCGGATCTTCTTCTCCAGGCATCCCCATCCAGATGGCAGCCAAGGATTTTTAATGACTACCTGTCACCTTCAGAACGACTGCGTGGTAAAACGTTCCTTCTGCATTATGGAACAAGGGATTCAGTTTTAAAAGCTCAGGTTAATTTTAAAGGCACGTGTGGTGTTTTGTTTTGTTTTCTTTTTTAAAACAGTTTTTACGTTTTTGTATTCATGTTAATCTAAAATTTAATTTTAGAAAGCATGCTAATCAGCTTTGGGCTAATATTCAGGTGGATATGGGCAAATTGATGAAGCTTATAAGAAAAGTTAAGTTCTGGAATCTAATAAAAGTGGTTACTTCTTATTTTCAAGCACAGAAACAGAAGTTTGTCCTGGGCTGAACACTGAGGTTGGCTTGATTGTTTTTTTCTCTCTTAGAAAAGATACGTTTGTTGACTGCATGCATGGTATGCAACTGAATTTAATAGGAAGTTTATTTTCCAATTCACTGAATACCGTATTTTTCGGAGTATAAGGCGCACCTTTTTCCCCCCTAAAAGAGGGTGGAAGTTGGTGTATCTTATATACCAAATACAGCCATTTTTGGCCTCCCACTCGTTCCATTTTTGTGAAAAACAGGCCCGTTTTTCACCTGATTTTCGCAAAAAAAAATGCACAAAGGCAGTTCCCGCTATTAGTTCCTTCATTCCAGTCTTTTCTTCGAAATACTTTTTAAAAAGGAGCATTCTGCAGGCCTCCCAAACCCTCTGCGTGCTTCATTTTTTTGCAAAAACGGGCAAAAAGCACCCTGTAGAAAGCCTGCAGAGTGCTCTCCTGAGAGTCAGGAAGGGTAAAACCCTTTTTTTAAAACTTACCTCTTCGCAGTCTTGGTGCGTCTTATACACCGATGTGTCTTATAGTCCGAAAAATACAGTAGTTTGCTTTTATCTGTTTTTTTTTTTTTTTTAATTTGATTTATATGCCGCCCTTCTCCGGAGACTCAGAGCTGCTTACAATGTACTAAGCAATAGCCTTCATTGTTTTCTTTATTTATACAAAGTCAGCTTATTGCCCCCACAAACTGGGTCCTCAATTTACCTACCTTAGAAAGGATGGAAGGCTGAGTCAACCTTGAGCCTGGCAAGATTCGAACCTGCAGTAATTGCAGGCAGCTGGTCTTAATAACAGGGTACTTTAGACCACTGTACTACCAAGGCTCCTGTTTCTTCCAGATTTCCTGGAAATTGTTCTCATTTATTTCAAGGGTCTTCATTCCATCCAGAGTTGTGAAGTCTTGGGGTCAACCAGGGAAGTAGCTTTGTGAAACTCTCATTGGTCTTTTATTCAAATTGTAGCTTGAAATATGGAAAGCCATGGATGCAGGGGCAGAACAAACAAGAAGGAACTTGATGCATCTGAAAGCCCAGTATTTTTATTCAGCGTGTCATATGTCAAAAAGTTTGAGAAAACTAAGATTTGTCCAAATAAAAAAATGCTCTATAGCTCTGAGCAGTAGCAAAAACAATATTGCGTCTGTACAGTGCATGTTAATTTTATTGCCCTTCGATTATTTCAGTGCTTTGCAAAGTACATTTCATTATTGACAAGTTCAAGATATATGCAAAACTAAAAAGAAATTCCTAAACATACATTATAGGTGAAATCCATATATTTCACTAATGTATAATTGTCACACTTGCCACTTATGAATAAAGTCCCTTCTGTATGCCATGTTCCAATCTTCACAACAATCCTGAAAAACGATCCACATTGCAGATGGAGGAACAATTTGCCAGCCTGCCTGAAAAGGAAATTATAGTATTACTGACATATTTGAATGCATACTTCGTATGTTTCTTCTCCTGGGCATCCCCCATATATATACATGAGTCTGTACAGATAGATAAATGATAGGTGGATGGATAGAATGACAGACAGATTAGATAGATAGATAGATAGATAGATAGATAGATAGATAGATAGATAGATAGATAGATAATGTGCCATCAGGTCATTTGGTTCCTAGGAACCATATACAGGTAGTAGTACAGTGATGGCTAACCTTTTTGCCATCACGTGCCAAAAGTGGGAGCGTGTGGGGGGGTCATGTGCCCATACCCATAATTCAATGCGCCCCGCTCCCTTGTGCATGTGCACATGACACACACATACACCCTGTGCTTCCCCCACTTTTGGCGCGTGATGGCATGGTGGGCCCGGTAGGCCCGTTTTTCGCCCTCCCCAGGCTCCAAGAAAGTCTCTGGAGGCGGGAAACAGCCCGTTTGCCAATTTCCAGTGAGACCTGAAGTCCCATTTTTCGCCCTCCCTGGGCTCCAGAGGCTTTCTAGGAGCTTGGGGAGGGCGAAAATGGGCCTTACCCACCCACCCACCCCCGGAGGCCCTCCGGAGGCCAGAAACAGCCCATTTGCTGACTTCCGATTGGCTCAGAAGGCCCGAAAATCAGATGCGTGCGCCGGAGCTGAGTTAGGGCAACGCTCGCGTGCCCACCGATATGGCTCCATGTGCCACCTGTGGCACGCATGCCATAGGTTCACCATCACGGTAGTAATAAAACGCTTCAAATCAATGGAGAAAGTCAAAAGAAGATGGATATTTTTCAGTATCTGGGATCCCACCTCTGTGACAATGGCGACATCAATAGCGAGGTGCAAGCAAGGGTGAATGCAGCCTGGGTGCATTGAAGAGAACTCACTGGTCTGTTATGTGACAAACGAATGCCAACCATATTAAATCTAAGATTTACAAGACAACCATTCGCCCTGTTGCACTGTATGGCGCTGAATCTCGGGCAGCAACAACAGGGACCGAAAGCTATCTCCATGCCGTGGAAATGCGAATGCTCCGTTGGATATCGGGTATCTCCCTTGACCACATCACAAATGACACCATTTTACAGCCTTTTAGTGTGACAAAATGGCTGAAGAGGTTGTAGGGGAAAAAAATGCTTTTAAATGGCTCTGACGATCCCAGCTGAGCTGCGTGATCATCAGAGGCTTTTTTTTTGGTAACTTTTAAAAACATTTTTTCGGCCGAAGAGGTTGTGGAAAAAATGCTTTCAAACGTAAAAAAACAGCCTCTGATGATCGCACGGCTCACCTGGGCATGGGGGAGGGGGTGTGCAGGGATTTTTGCTACCGGTTTTCCGAGCCACTAGCTGCCATTGCTACCGGATCGGGTGATCTGGTCCGAACCGGGAGCATTTCACCCCTGCTGTGCACCATTTGTATTTATTAAGGAAGACTGAGCGGCTGAGCAGCAACCAAGAGTTGACAGGAATAAATCTGAAAAGGGCACGAGATAATCTTCAAAAATACAGGGTAGGTAGGTAGATGGGAGGGAGGAGTTCAGGACGCTAATTCTTACAGGTGATTTTGTATGGTAGTTGAAATGGGGCATCTCAGTTGTGATTGACCATTTCTCGAAAGTGTTTTAAACTCTACCTACACGAAAGCCCATTTATAACCCAAAACAAACATGCCCTCTCATTCTATTCTTTTGTCATATTTCTTGTTTTTACATCATCATTACTCAGTGCTCCAATAAATTCATTGGCCAAGTATGAAAAATAAATACACAAAGGCAAATCCCGCTATTAGTTCCTTCATTCCAGTCTTTTCTTCGAAATGCTTTTTTAAAAGCTCTACAGCCCCTTTTACAGGTCAAGGTTCCTGCCTGTGCTTGTATGAGATGCGTTGGTTTGCATTTTCTGTTGCTTTTACATCTGTGGTAAAATTGCCTGTTACCTTGAATTTAAATTACTCATTCAACAAAATTGACAGACGGGGCTATTGCAAAGTGGATAGGAGGGTGGAAATTCACTATTTCAGATTTAGTTATAGCAAATGTTTACAGCCAGGGCATCGCTAATTACAATAAGAAAAGCTATTGGACAGACCTTAAAAAGAATTAGTAACTTTGCCTATGGACTTTCTGATTCAGAGTAAGAAAGTGAAGGTGGTTTGGGGCTTCCAGAAAAATGTCTGTCTCTCTGCTTTTTCTTTGCTCACTTCCTTAATAAGCTTTTTAAAATACCTGCATTTTGGCCATTAGTTGGCCAATGCATTAGTTACTTGAGCCTAATGTCTTGGCCTTGCAATATCTAGAGAAAGTCAGTTTGTTCTATTGGTGAAGGCATCAGACTAGAAACTAGGAGGGTGTGAGTTCCAATCCCGCCTTAGCCGTGAAAGCCAACTATGTGACTTTGGGCCAATCACCAGGGGATGTGAGTTCTAGTACTGCCTTAGACATGAAAACTGGCCGGGTGGCTTTGAGGTGGTGCGATCTAATCCCATTTTAGGCAAGAAGCTGGCTGGGTGACTGGGCCAATCACTCTTCAGTTCAACCCACCTCACGTTGTTGTCATTGTGAGGAAAAATAGAAGAAGGCGTATTAGATATGTTCTCTGTCTTGAGTTATATAAAATAATAAAGGCAGGCAAATTAAGGGCAGGATTAAAAGCATCTAATAAATAGGTTTCTCCTGAGGTTCTGGATTAGGGACTGCCCAAGCCACTTTTGAGACTTTGGTTGTGAAAGAAACCCAGCCTTCCACCACCCCACCTCACCCTCCTTGGCTATTAGGCAGTGGTAAAATCCATTTTTTTTTTTTACTACCGGTTCTTTGGGTGTGGCTTGGTGGGTGTAGCTTGGTAGATGTGGCAGGGGAACAATACTGCAAAATCTCCATTCCCACCCCACTCCAGGGGAAGGATACTGCAAAATGAGCCGAGGCGGCGCAGTGGTTAGAGTGCAGTACTGCAGCTACTTCAGCTGACGGCTAGTTCAGCAGATCAGCGGATCAAATCTCACCGGCTCAAGGTTGACTCAGCCTTCCATCCTTCCGAGATGGGTAAAATGAGGACCCAGATTGTTGGGGGCAATATGCTATTTAGTATACTGTCTTTGATGTAAGCCGCCCAGAGTCCTCGGAGAGTGGGCGGCATAGAAATATGAATAATAAAATAATAATAAATAAATAAATAATCCCCATTCCCTCCCCACTCCTGGGGGAAGGATATTGCAAAATCTCCATTTCCACCCCACTCTGGGGCCAGCCAGAGGTGGTATTTGCCGGTTCTCCGAACTACTCAAAGTTTCCTCTATCAGTTCTCCAGAACCTGTCAGAACCTGCTGGATTTCACCCCTGCTATTAGGGCAGGTCATGAGTAGACAAAGTCCTTGGGACAGACAGCCTCCTTGCTCACCAGGGAATCCAACTTGGCTTTCTCTGCAGTGGCACTCAAGATCCTGGCAAGGCTCATTTCTCCACTGAGTATCTTCCTTTCCTCCGAAGCTGTTTTGATCTGGCTCCTTTGGTCTCTTTCCCTAACCGATGAGCCACTGG